GTAACTGTCTCTGCCAAGCTCTTCCCTCTGCCTGCAGTTCTCACCCCACACACACCTTCCATTTCCCAGTGGCTACAAATATCATGTGCAATTATGCCTGTCTTCCATGACCTGCCTCTGACAAGACATCCCTGAGTCATCTTCCCTAAACCCACTCCTTCAAATCCACCTTCCAAATCGTAGTGAATGGACTGCTGTCCCTGCTCCACAGTACTGTGTGCCTCAAACAGGGCTCCCCACAGCTGGCTGGGATTAGCAGGGATTCCCCAGTGCGTGTCTCCTGCGGTGGAGACCATGAACTCCAGGGAGGCCAGAGAGCTGTCTGCTCTGCTTTTTGTCTTCTGCCTGCCCAAGACAGTACTTTATGTAGGTGTTAATTTCCTAAAAATATGTCTAACATGCTTGAATTGCTGATAGCTATTTATTAAAGCCCAGCTTCTAATATAAATATGCATTTCTGATGAATCCCCCAAAAAAACAGGAAAAAACAAATGTCATTAATTTGCAGTTTATCAATATCCTGGCTAGTAATTGAGATATTTAGTGGCATAGTCACTAGAATATAAGGTGCTAGTCCCAGTCCCAACACGAGTTTGAGTAATTTTAAACTTCATAGTGAATTTTTTGTAACGTCTACAGAATGGATCACCATTATCATAATAATAGCTGATAGCGACGGAGCATGTCCCATCTGCCAAGCACTGGGTATCGTTGATTCATTCATTTATAAAATTTGAAGTTGGTGGGAGGGCATATTTAAAGACTGCTACCTGGAATAGTGTTGTCAGAGATTCATTTGTTTGTTCTCTGCATTCTTCAATATATAAATTATTCCATGCAATTGAGCAGCTCCCCAAGTACGTCATAGTTATGAAATGTGCGTTGACTTTGGAAGATTACAGTTCATTTGTGATCTTCCAGGCAGCAGGGGTTGGCGTGGGGGTATTCTTCTTTGTAGTGAAAGTGTTTTCCTCTGAAATCTTCAGCTACTTCCCCACTCTGTGAAGCCTTCTTCTCCTGGGTCAGTGGGACCCTTCCTTGAGAGTGGTTTCAGTAGGTTCTCCAAAAACTGTTCAGCTGAGTAAAACTGGGTAGAATAGTCCATGCATTTTGTCCCAAGATATAAAAATTGGCTTTGGGGAGGTGAAAATGAAACCTTACTACTTTTAATGTATCAAGCACCAATACCCATATAGAAAAATATAGTGCATCTGTGTTGTTATAACATGTTATGGAGATAGACTGTTGGGGGAAAATAACTGGAAAAGCTTTTTTGGGGGTGATGATGAATGAAATGGTTGAGAAACACTGAGTTAGTCATACACAGTATCAGACAAGTACTGTGTCAGTAGCCCCAGTAATTTCCACCCTCAGGCCAGGCCCCACATCCAGCACATTTTTGCTCTTCTCTAGCCCCTACGGCCACGTCAGTCTTCTAGCCCAGGCTTCATCGGCATCTCAGTTTAGAGAAAGGAAGGCAAGATGCCTCCCACCTCTGTTTTCCAGGATTGAGAATATGCTCACGCCCCTCTCTATCTAAAGGAAAGGAGAGAGGGATGGACCAGGCCCTGTGTTGCTCTTACAGGTGCCTCGTGTGCCATTTTGTCATGAGCGGTCAGCAGAGCCCGTTGCCGAGGGGCCTAGGGAGGGTGCCCTCACAGAGCTGGTACCTTCAGTTCTGAATTAAGCAGTAGCCTCAATGCCTTGTAAGCAACCATTCATGTAAGAGGATAGGCATTTAAGGTGAAATCTGCCTCATCTGTCATTATTTACAGGTAAGATGCAGAATAGTTCAAGAAACAAGGCAAATGAATTGCATTTGCATTAACGGGAGTCATGCCACATTCGGCTACTCTTTGTGAAAACTTCCCCAAAATAGATTCCTTGGAGTGCTGCTTTGTGGGACCTTCATTGATTTGCTCTGAAGATAGGTGTCCATACCTGAGAGGCCTCAGTGAAGTTTCAACTGCAGAGTTATCCATGGCAGCACTTCTGGAAGCATTTCTGTGCTGATGGTACATGGCAGGTCCCCAGTTCCTCATTTAATGGGAGGAATCTCCTTTTTCTGGAAGATTTCTCTGGACTGCTGTGTCACAAAACATTCTGGAAACCCCTTACCCCATGAACGTTCTACTACTAGACGATTTAGAATTGAACGTTAATATGGGCATGGGAGGCCAGTGAAAACAACATAAGCCTCACCTGGGACTGCAACACATGTTTGTTTTGGAAACACTGACTTTGCAACCACAGCTATAGACAACGGCTTTTATTTTAGGAGTCAGCAGTTAATACATTTGCAGGAAGGAGAATTGAGGGCATCCCTGTGAAAACCAGAAAATAAATCCATCCTGAAGGGCGTTGGCTTTGTAGGCCTCTCATCCCCTGTTGGGTAGGTTGCTGGGCCATGCACAACGGGTGTCGGGATGGAAAGGACCAAGGAGAGGACTGAAGAGAGGCCTCTGCATTGCCGACTGCCACGTGCTCACCACACAGCTCATTGGCTCATCCACCAGCTCATTTAACCATGAAGTCTTTTAATCCCCTCCAGGTCCAATGAATTCCTTAGGCTTTTTTATCTGTGTTTATCAGTTCCCGTTACAAATGGCAGCTTCTTCTACACGGCACATTTGGAGATGACATGGAAAAATCACTCACACAGGCCAGCAAAGGCACTGTCTTTGTGCCGTGGTAATCCTGTTTGGGGAAGTCTCTCCAAAAGCAGGGAAAACATCGCTGTACTTTTGCTGTCTTGACAATGTGTGGAATCATATTATACAGCAAGCATACCACAAGCAGGTCTCATCTAAGGCACCTAAATGTGGTTTTTCCATAACGAAAGTGCTGTTGAAAGTAAACACAACTTGCTGCTCTACAGGTTAGAGCATTTTAATCCTGTACATGGCTAATCTTCCCTAGTCTGTCTGAAGTCATAGTGTCCCTCTAAACACAAAAAACTGATAGGGGCCTCCTGTCACACTTGCGGATCATGAGTCTCATGCAGAAGGCTACGGAAAATGAATTGATTTCACATGTTTTACTCAGAGGAAGTGGAAAAAGAAAATGATTCTAGTGACCATCTAGAAACTTGCGGTTTGTTTTTGACTCTAAGACAATCAGCACCTTTCAGGGCCTTGCTGGGCTTTTCACTGGTTTCTGACAGATTGGTGGACGCAGCATTTGTACCATTAAAAGAGGAAACTGGGGAAGATTTTTTGAGCTGTCTTGAAGTCTTTTGCTCACCACTTAATTTACATACATACACTTTAATATGCATGCTAAGAGTGCCTGTAATGTACTTTTTTTGAATAAAATGACACAGAGAATTCATTAGGAAGCTTTCCTGCCCACCCCCCAACCAAGTCGTTAAATAACTTTTTCAAAGGCTTTTCTCTATAGGAGAAGGAATCAATTTAGGGGTGTAGTTCATTCATTTACCTAGCTTGTAACTCTAGAGGGTTTTGTTATAAACATGTTTATATCAATAATGGTTTTATAGGTTGATTTTCAGAGCACTATCGATTCAGTAAAACAGTAGCTCTGCAGTGCACAAGGGATACTGACCTCCACCTCAGCACTATTACTTAGAGGAATGCAGCAGCACCATATCTAACTTTTTTTTTTTTTTTTTTTTTTTGAGACGGAGTCTTGCTCTGTCACCCAGGCTGGAGTGCAGTGGCCGGATTTCAGCTCACTGCAAGCTCCGCCTCCCGGGTTCACGCCATTCTCCTGCCTCAGCCTCTGGAGTAGCTGGGACTACAGGCGCCCGCCACCTCGCCCGGCTAGTTTTTTGTATTTTTTAGTAGAGACGGGGTTTCACCGGGTTAGCCAGGATGGTCTCGATCTCCTGACCTTGTGATCCGCCCGTCTCGGCCTCCCAAAGTGCTGGGATTACAGGCTTGAGCCACCGCGCCCGGCCGCACCATATCTAACTTACTAGTAGGTAGCTGGATGTTTGGATGAAGGAAGGGAGAGCAGGAGGAAGGGAGGGATGGATAGATTGGTAAATAGGGATGGATGGACAGATGGATGGATTCATGAATAATATAAACGGAAGTACTAATTAATAACAAAATACATGCATACCTCAGCAGTCATTTTTACAGCATTACTTAAAAGTTTCATGTTTAAACAAATATCTGATAGTGTATATGTATCCAACATGACAACATTGTACTTATTTACAGATCATTATCTGACAAGGAACATGAAGTCAAACAAAACTTAAACCTTAGATATGAGCACTGCCAATCAAAATTCAAAACAAAGTTTAAGGCCCCCTTGAAGTTTTGATGTCTCACCATGTGAAAATTGAACTTGATGTTACAAAATTAATGCATAGGAAAAAACCTCCTAGGAAAAAGCCTGGTTTTGGTGATGAGATTCAGATCATACATGGCTTTATATTTGATGAATAGTTGTGGGCAGCTGCTGTACTTTCTGTGCTTCCATGTAATTCCAGGACTGCTTCTGGGAGCCCTGAAAGCACCCTTCAGTGACTTCCTTTCAGATGTTGTATTTCATTAAGCAAAAGGGAAAGCTTTATTCCTTAGAGATGATATAGTAATATTTGGAAAGCTCACTAGTTCCAACGATGCACATAATTTAAAATAGACACATCATAGTTTAAAAGGTAAAATTGGTTACGAAATGTGATCCCAAGCAGGCATGGGTAGTGCTCTGCCTGCAGCCCAGAGGAGGTCCCAGTGTGCAGGATTGGAAAGGGGCTGGCTCCTTCCCTGCTGTGACTTTTCTGTCTGCTTCCCGATGGGACGTGCTGTTGATCCCAGCTGCTGAGAAGAAACGGTGGGCAAGTGCCATGAGGATGGGGATTTGCAGCAGGGAGGAGCCAAAGGTGGAAGCATCACTGGGAAGTGAGAGCTAGGGAGGAACGCGAGAGCATCACAGGCCACAGGCCCTTCTCCTTCCCTCTTGAAAACCTAACCTGGCTCCTGACACTGCCTCCTACTGTGTTCCCCTCCTGCCCAAACTGTACCTAGAGCTCCATCCATAGACCTCGTCTGCTTACCGCACAGAAATGCCAGGACTGCTGGGGTCCCTTCTCAGCGCTCCTCCTTCTGTCTAATCAGCTGCTTCTCTGACCAAACCTCCAGCTCACAGCCACAGCGCATGGAGACCCCAAGCCTTCTACTTGGGTGTCCCACAATGGCCTCAAACCCAACTTTTCACAAAAGCTACCTCTCCTTCCTGCCACCAAAATGGCGGCCCCAAGACCCACCACATCAGAAACGTGAGAATCAGCTTCTCCATCAGGCTTAACATCCCAGGTATCATCCAGCTCCCTGTTGCTTCTCAGGTTTTCCTCTAATCCCATCCATTTTTATTCATTGCCCTTGTGTTTGGACTGTTTCCCTCCCCCCATTCAGAAGCTGAAATCCTCACCCCCAGTGTGATTCGTTAGGAGGAGACCAGGGAGCCAGGGACCATGCTGGCTCCCTGATCTCACACCACCTGACCCCAGACCTATGGGAAATCCCTGTCTGGGGTTTAAGCCACCCAGTCTGGTGTTTCCTTACAGTAGCCTGAAGGGACTAAGACACCCTGCTGCTGTCAGACAAAGATACTCCTACGTGTAACTTGCTAGTTATAAAATGGAACTTTTAAGCTACATGATATTTGTCTTTAAGAAATTAAAGTACAAGAACTTTTTAAGTCCCCTGGACAGAAACCATCCTCAGGTCGCTGCTGCGCTTCAGCATCATTGAAGAAGTCAGTTCATCACCTCCAAGTGATAAGCCGCCAAGGTGCTTCACCTCCCTTGTAGTTGGAAATGTCATGCTCCCTAAATTAAATCCCTCAAGCTACAGTTTAATTAAGCTCATCTCCTCACCTGGAGATGGAAATCAGATATATTTTAGCCTTCAGATAGGTAGAGTGAAAAGAACATTGGATTCTGCAGACCTGGATTCTGTTCAAGAGTTCTGTCTTCCGCGTGACTGCATGACCTCCAGCTTGCCTCTGAACTTCCCTTGCCCTAAGTAGAGGAGATGCTGCATTTGCTCTGTCTATTCCCTAGCGCTGACTTTCCATGGCCTCTTTGTGGCTCTAAGTCCTGTACCAGGACACCTTTACTGTCTTCGCTAATTTAGCAGATGTTTGTCAGTGCTCATGATTTGCCGTGGCATCCTGGGAAGGTGCATGAAAACTGGGCCCTGCCTAGTTACAGCCGATATGTAGGCGTCCGCACAAGCTGCGTGAAGAATATTCTTGACCAGATACTTCCTTGAAGTCATGGAAGTCAGCCTTAGAAGGTCCACTAAATACACTACAAAATAATCACAAAATTAATTAAAATCATATAGAATATGCATGCGTACACATACATCCATGTGCATGTCCTGACACAGAGATGATATGTGGGGTGAAGGAGGGAGATCTCAGGAGGCCGCAGGCCTGCCGGGAGCATGTGCAAGTGCCAGCACCATCCCCTGGACCAAGCCCCAGTTCTCCAGCTTCACTGAAGGTGCAGAAGCCCTGCTGGAAAAGAGAAGAGAGCCGTGGGCACTTCCACCTTCCCTGTCCCTGGCCACCGCCTTCAAAGGAGCAACCCACCAAGTCCATGCAGAGAAAAGTCAGTCTGCCTCCGCTCTCCACTTGCAGAGGCTGAAGTCCCTTGACTTATAGAGAGAAAGGTTTCTTTCTACAGATGCAAACATACAATCCATGATTCACTGTATGGGTGGTGGTATGAATGAGTTTTAGGTCAAGTGTAATCAGTCAGTCATGGTGGGACAGGAAGGGCTGCTCCCTAAGTGAAAAAATGAGGTGCTTAAAAAGAAGCATGAGAGCCAAATTCAGTCAGGGTGAACCTCCTTTTGCTGTAGCTGGGTGTGGCAGACGGAAACTGTGTTGAGGTATTTCTGCCTTCGAAAATAAAAACATACTTCCTCCTTAATTTTATTTGTGCAAGATATAAACTGTATTTAGCTTATATTCTTCTTTCTTTTTTTGACGCTTAAGTCCTGTGATTACCAGACACAGTTGTTCCAGGTAGCTTTTAAGGATTTATTCTTAAATCCTTAAGTTTCAGTAGACAGACACCCATGCTGTGAAAATTCTTTAAATGGTTAGGCTTTTAGATACCAGGTACTTTTCTTGTAGGAATGGTCCTATTTACAAGTGCATTAGATCTTTGGGTGTAACAAAGTCTGAAGACGACATAAAAATCTTTTGGGGCTGGGCACGGTGGGTCACACCTGTAATCCCAGCACTCTGGGAGGCCAAGGTGGGGGATCAGTTGAGGTCAAGAGTTCAAGACCAGCCTGGCCAACATGGCGAAACCCCATCTCTACTAAAAATACAAAACAATTAGCCGGGTGTGGTGGTGCACGCCTGTAATCCCAGCTACTTGAAAGGCTGGCAGGAGAATTGCTTGAACCTGGGAGGTGGAGGTTGCCATGAGCTGAGATCTTGCCATTGCACTCCAGCCTGGGTGACAGAGCCAGACTATGTCTCAAAAAACAAAAAACAAAAAAATGAAAATAAATAAATCTTTTGGGACATTTTTAATAGGTGCTTCAGGACACAGTAGTTGTTCTGGTTTATAATTCCACTGCTTCTAGGGGAAAAAACCCAAACCAACAAAACCCAAACCAACAAAACCCAAACTTTCAGATGCTGTGGCGTGACCCCGAATCATTTCCCGCATGCAGGCTGTGTGTGTGGTGCAGGTGCCATCTGGGCCCAGCACCAGGGGGTTTCTTCTCAGGACTCATGTTTGATGTCTTCTCTTTGTCCTGTGTCTGGGGCTTCCTTTAAATTTTGTGTGCAAACAATGCCTGGTGTTAGAGGGCCAACCTCGCTGTTTTCCTGTAAACCACTCAATTCTGCTCCACTCCTGTTCTGTTGAGTTTTCCTGACACGTTTCCATCATCGACCACCTCCAGCCAACTATTCTATTAGCTTTTGAAACTTCAGGTTCTGTTTTCAAATTCCATCTTGATCAAATGGAATTCTCGTTAGTGGACATGAAGTGTAAGAGTCCGGCAAATGTTGGGGAAAGGTATCTCCTGACAGCTGTTAGCAAAACGGCCACATGAGAGGAGGAAGAAGAGGGTTTCAGGTGCCAGGGGCGTCATGCATCCCATTGCTTGTTTTGGGCTGAGATAACCCATGGCTGTTTACATCAGAGGCTGTACTTACTTTTGACCTTTTAGAATAGTTAACTTTGCAAGGGTCTCGTGCTGGAAAACCCAAACCAACTGGCCTGTCTTCCTAGGTTTCCCCTCAATCATTTGAACACTGAGGGTTTTACTTACTCATATGGACATATTTTAAATGGCCCTTCTGTTGCATAAGCTTATTATGTCACCTTCTCTCTCTCTTTTTTTTTTTTTTTGAGACGGAGTCTCATTCCGTGGCCCAGTCTGGAATGCAGTGGCACGATCTTGGCTCACTGCAACCTCTGCCTCCTGAGTTCAAGCCATTTTCCTGCCTCAGCTTCCAGAGTAGCTGGGACTACAGGCATGTGCCACCGTGCTTGGCTAATTTTTTTACTGTTTTGGTAGAGATGTGATTTTACCATGTTGGCCAGACTGGTCTGGAACTCCTGACCTCAAGTGATCTGCCCACCTCGGCCTCCCAAAATACAGGTGTGAGCCACTGCGTCCAGCCTATGTCACCTTCTTATTGTGATTGATTGTGATAGCAACCAGTTACCAACCTTGACTTTTCGCCACTCTTCATACTTATTCAAGTCTCCCTTACTTTATGTACGACATTCATCTTACATGTTGTGTGTGATATTCCAGATGTCAGTGCCGTATTTGGATTATTCTTAAAAATAGGTGAGGACAGATTAATCGAACACAGAGGAACCAGCAAAACGTGAAGGCCATGAGAAACAGTAAAAAGGTCTCCAAGAGCTGGTGTCAGCTGTTCCCGCTGTCAGTGCTGCAGACACTTGTAAGTTTCCCTCCTCACTCACAGCCCTCACTTAGTTGCCTTTAAACACAGGCTGCCTTTGGAAAGATCTCTCAGATGTGAAGGGACACCATGGGGCCTGCATTTCCTTCCACTGCAGATCCCCTGTATTAGTCCTTTTTCACGCTGCTGATAAAGACATACCCAAGACTGGGTAAATTACAAAGAAAAAGAGGTTTAATGGACTCACAGTTCCACATGGATGGGGAGGCCTCACAATCATGGCAGAAGGTGAAAGGCACATCTTACATGGCAGCAGGCAAGAGAGAGAATAAGAGCCAAGCAAAAGGGGTTTCCCCTTATAAAACCATCAGATCTTGTGAGACTTATTCACTACCATGAGAACAGTATGGGGAAAACTGCCCCTGTGATTAAATTATCTCCCACCAGGTCCCTCCCACAACAAGTGGGGATTCTGGCAGCTACAATTCAAGATGAGACTTGGGTAGGGACACAGCAAAACCATATGACCCCCTTTAGGTGAGTGCAGGTGTATTGGGTGCCTTCCATTATCTCTTTGGGAACTGCCACAGTCAGCCACTGATTTCCCGTCCCACACACCTGCCTTGCTCCTTGGAAGCAGCCTCACGCAAATAGAGAATAAAAGCTGCTTTCACAACTTTAGCCAAGCAGTATTATCCCAGGGGATAATCCATCTCTTCCTCTACCCCAGCCCACATTTCACAGGTAGACCCTGCACAAAGCTTCAGAATCCCTGGAGAAGGTGACAGATATTTTGAAACGTCATTTGACATTTACGTGCCTATCTCTGGTCCCAGATAAAAACAGTGGAGAGCATTTAGAATATGATCAAGTCGTAACTTTTAAAAAGGCAAGACAGAAATATCATGAACAGGTAGTCACTGAGTGAGATAACAGAGAAAACCAACCTGGAAGTCTAAGTGGAGTCATTTCTTCCCACGTCCTGCGGTGACCAGTGTCTCACAGGAGAAAGAAACCAGGGAGCATCAGAGGCTGTCAGAAGGGAGGTGTTGGGACGGACTACTGTGGCTTGCCTGGGACTGTCCAGGATGTAGCACGGGACAACCTGCCCCACAGCCGACCCTTCAGTTCCAAGCAAACTAAAATAGCTGGGCCAACCAGTTCCCTCTGTGAAAGTAAGGTAGCATTCACATTCCATTGTCGCATGGATTAACTCACTTAATCCAGGGATCGGCCCTGTGGGGTAAGTTGGCTAGGTGATATTTTAGCCCCAGATTGAAGGAAAGAATGGGGTAATGGAAAGAAAAAGGCATGTAGGGAAAAAGAAAAACAGTCATTGTGCTGGCTACAGCACAGACCACTAATAGTTAAGACTGTGTGTGCGTTTCAGTGTTTTCTAGTGAAAACGCCAAAGAATGCAGAGCTTCTCTTTCAGACCTGGCATCAGGCTTCCATGAGCCCTTTCCAGGACACCAGTGCATTGAGTCACTGCTATATACCTGGTGATGAGCCGAAGAGTATGTTTTCATAATGAAAGGCAAAGGGGGCCAGGTGTGGTGGCACACACCTGTAATCCCTGCACTTTGGGAGGCCAAGGTGGGCAGATCACTTGAGTCCAGGAGTTGGAGACCAGCCTGGCCAACATGGTGAAACCCTGTCTCTACTAAAAAATACAAAAAAAAATTAACCGGCTTGGTGGTACACCTGTAGTCCCAGCTACTTGGGAGGCTGAGGCATGAGAATTGCTTGAACCTGGGAGGCAGAGGCTGCAGTGAGCCAAGATCACACCACTGCACTTCAGCCTGGGCGAGAGAGCAAGACTCTCTCACAAAAATAAATAAATAAATAAATACATTAAAAAAAAAAAATAAAAGACAGAGGGACAAAGGAGACAAAGAAGAGATGAGCGGAGAGCTGAAAGGCCCACCTCAACAGCTCGTGGAGTTCTAGGCCACATGTGGAGTAGAACTAGGCCACAGGAGAGACTCCTCAGCATAGGCCGCCATGACGAGGACCTCTCTTCCCTTACAGATGTCTGGGCCCCTGCAGAGTCTCAGTTAAAAAGCATCAATAAATGTGTTTTCACAAGAGGTGTGTGCCATTCTAGGAATGTAGGGAAGAAGCTTCCTAAGTGTATGTCTTCCTGAGAGGGTCGGTGATATGAAGATAGCACATGTGGATTATGCTTGTTTATACTACGGAGCAGGCTCTGGGGTGTCTCCTTTGGAGGGAGCCCTCATGTGAAACTTACTGTAACATTGTCAATGTGGTGGCACCTTTAGGAGCTCACTGATAAATGCAGTGTACAAACACCCCATTTTATTTTATGTATTGGTTTTTCTTTTAGTACTTAATTTTTTTCCATTTTAATTTTAATAGTCTACAGGGTACAGGTGGCTTTTAGTTACACAGATAAGTTCTTTAGCAGTGATTTCTGAGATTTTAGCACACTCGTCACCAGAACAGTGTACATTGTATCCAGTATGTAGTCTTTTCTTCCTCATCCCGCTAGTCCCCAAAGTCCCTTATATGTAATTCTTATGGCTTCCCATCCTCATAGCTTAGATTCCACTTATAAGTGAGAGCATATGATATTTGGATTTCCATTCCTGAGTTACTTAAAATAATGGCCTCCAGCTCCATCCATGTTGCTTCAAAAGACATTATTTCATTCCTTTTTGTGTCTGAGTAGTATTCCATGGTGTATAAATGCCACATTTTCTTTATCTGCTCATCGGTGGATGGGCACTTAGGTTGGTTCCATATCTTTGAAGTTGCCAGTTGGAAACACCCCATTTTCAATGTGGGTGTCTGAATGAAGAGACCACAAGTTTTGGATGGTGTTGTGTCCATAATCCCAATAATAAAGTGAATTTTTGCGATTATCCAAAAGAGAGCATGCATGCACACTACATATTTGTGCTCATATTTGTCACATCGCACTAGCACACACAGGAACTGAATTTTTAACTTAAAAGATTCTAACCATTTAATTTTCAAACCACAGTACATAAAACAGGAGCAACTCTGAAGTGGTTTTATATTTTAAGAGCATGATTTTTAGTTTTGCAGTTGCCTCTCACACTCTGAATGTTCAATTATTGATTGAACAGATTGTTATGATCCCAATAAAATAAAGTTTTAAGCTGAGAATCTTGCCTCACCACACAGCTGCGCTCCATTTCAGCAATGCTTTGGCTGTGACAGAAACCTCTCCCCTTTAAAGGAGCCATGGCAGGGAGACCCCCGGAGCCAGTAAGAAACAGCATGCTGTCCTCACCACAATCTGTACTCTGGGGAGCCCCCACTGTAATTCTATCTCTTTCTGCACAGTTGCAAAGCCAACGGTGATGACGATGATAAACACTTCA